TTTTCTCATAACTGTAGAAAATGTTTTATTGAAATCAATCACACAAAAGTCACTAATATTGGGCAATCTGAATAAGCAAAAGGGCTATTGACTCATTATTGTTTTATGTTTGACATTTACTGCACAATGAAACCCAGATTTAGTGCAATCATTTGTCCTGGCAAATCTTTGGCACTAAAAGGGGGTGCTATTGTATCAGATGCAAATTGAGTTGAGGGCTTCTATCTGGGTAAAATAGGCTTATTTTCAGAATTTTTAGGGCATTGGGTCAATTTTTTTTCAGAGAGAAAGCCACAAGAAATAATTTGAGGCTCAAATGAACTGTTTGTACTGTACTTGAAATTATGGTAAAGAGCAGAAGATATTAAATTTTTGCACATAATATTTGGGTCTAGTGAAAGACTGGCCCTGTTTCTTGCAGTTTTGTATACATCTTTCAATGAGAGCAAACAATTCCAACATCAGGTGGAATTATTTGCTTTATATAATTTCAAATTATCTTTGCTGTCAATGACATACAAATAAAGCTACCAAATCAGCACTTGTGAAATCATAAATATAATTTGAAAGGGTTTTCTGGAGCATGGGCATGTGATTCTCAGGAATAACTTCATGATATCCCTAAAACTATGTTTTGATTTCTTTGATTGCAGCCTATTTTTCATTAAGGACAGGGCATTTTGTGGAGATGGTATAAAATCTGGGTTTCCATCAAGAACACAATGGAGGCAGTTTGTTTCAGGAAAATTAATGACAATAAATCAAGGGTTGCCTGCACCTTATTCTTCACTGTGAGAGGAAATATAATTTTTTAATAAAGATTATTTTCATTATATCATTAATACATCACCATAGTGTGTTTTTCTTTTCCACAACACCAAGTTGTTACATATTGTAAACGTTAAAAACTCATACAGATGCAAAAGAGTAAAAAGACATCTGAGTGCTGATGCAATTATGCAGCCTCCAAAATTCTCAAATTCAAAGTAAAAATCTAAATTTATGGCTGCAAAAAATGAATGCATCAGGAGCATCACACACAATATCAGAAGCATAAAATCTAGCATGGTAAAATATGAACTAGTTTCTCAGAGAAATAAAATCACCCAAAGAAAATCCTTCTTGTATGCCTCAACTCCTGATGCACAAAGTACCAGAGTTTATAACTCTGTCATTTTTGGGCCTAGAAAATTCTGCAAGGTCTTAAATTAAGGCTGAAGATGTTGTCTAATGTTTTTGTGGGAATATAAAAATTGATCTGACAGCAGAGAGATTTGGAGACATTCTTACTTATCCAAACCTATCTTTTTCTTTGGTGAAGAGGAATCTGTAAAACTTTAACCCAAGATTTCCATCTTACTGGTGCACAAGTTTCTGGTGCAAATAGTAACTTCAAAAAGCCCAATTCCTTTTTCATGGATGTTTTCAATTCTGCAACACCCAGTGTTTATAAGATGATTTTTGATGAAAAAATAACACATGGTTTACCTCTTTTTTTTTGCAGATGGGAACAGACAACATCAGTCAACAACATCAGCTGCAAGATGATTCTCAATTAGCAATATTCAATTTTTCACCTCAAGAAGAACAACCAACAGAAAGAATTTTGAATAATCAGCAAACCCATGATGCTCATCAATACCAGAATGATTCTATCATAGCTCCAGGATTTTTTGCTGGGGGCTCTGGGGGTAACAATAATTTGGTGCAGTATTGTGAGGCTCCTGCTGCTGTTTCAGGTTTGGAAGGTGCTCCTGATTTCATCCAGGTGAGGGATTTTTACTTTTTTTTTTAAACATATATCCTGATGAGTTTAATCTTCTACTGAAAGCACACATTTTCAAGATGATGTCAAATGACTTTTACATTTTTTAAATACTACCCCAAGTATTAAGATGATATTCACATACAAACATATGCCATCCAATTGTGAAAGTGTTTGAAAGTAAAACTTTCTAAAGTGCCCCTCAGCATGGGCATTTGCTGCTCCTCATCAATAATAATAATATAACAATATTCCCATAGAAAAAGGATGCATTTTATTTAGTTTTGGCCCATTTTTCATTCAGAATAAGAAAGTTTTGTGGCATTAAGTTAGTGTGCACCAAATTTTATGTTCACTTTGAGAACAGAATAGAGGGAGATTTGCTCCATGGAACTTTGAGGTACTATGTGAAAGTTGAGATATCACATTTGTGGCAATAAATTCAAGGCTGGGCATTGCTGACTGTTCAGCTGTGCAATTCAGAAAGTACAGTACCAGGTAATTGGAAGTTAAAAGACAGACTTTGTTCTCCACTTTGGCATGACAGAGAGGAGTCATTATTAAAAAAGGGAGAATGGCAGAGATTCCCAGAATGATGTTATTTGACTTTGGTTCTTTGTGTGGGTGGTTTTTTCTTAAACATACTGTACAGTGCTTTTTTTATTTTTAGGCAGAGGAGCCAGAGCAAAATCCAGAACAGCCATCTGATGTTCAATTGGAATCTTTTGAATTTGGCTACAGCCGAAGGAATGTGAGTTGGCACCAAATTGGATTTTCTGTAGGAATACAATAGAGGGAGATTTGTTCCAAAGAAATTTGTGGCACCATATGATAGGGTGTGACATCTAGGTAATTGAAAGTTAAATAGTAGACTTCGTTCTCCACATTGGCATGACAGAGTTTAGCCATTTACAAAAAAGATTCAGAATTCTTCAGGAAAATCTTATTTTTCTCAACAAGGTGCATTTTGGACAGTAAAAAAAAGGCTTGTCTTGTCATCAGAATTTTAAATCATTGGACCTGTTTTATGAACAAGAAAGCAACAATAAATTCAGAATTGAATGAACTGTTTTTACTGTAAAATATTTCAAATTATGTAACAGCAGTGCAGATTGTATTTTTTTCACATATGTTGTGTTGAGTAAAATAGTTTACCTGTTTTTTTTTAATTTTTGTGTTAAACTTTCAATGAAAGTGCACAATTCCAAGATGAGGTGGAGTAATCTTCAAATTGTTTTGAAGAGTTTATCCTATAATTATTAAGATGCCCTCTGTTGTGGAGGACATGGAAGTAGAATTACCCAAGTATATGTAAATTCAGAAATGTAATGTTGAAAAGTTGTCTTGGCTGCATGGGCATGTCAATCTCAAGAATGACCTGATGAGATCCCTATGATGAATATGCCTTAATGCTGTCTGAATGTGGTCTATTTTTCATTTATGACCTGGAATGTTTGTGGCACTAAATTAGGGCTTTCCTTAAGAGCACATCAATGCATGTTAGGATATTTCTTCCTGGGAAATTTGTGGCTCTGGGTCTGGGACACTGAACCAAGAGTTGAGTACATTTTTTTTCTTCATTGTGAGAGGAAAAACATTTTGTATTGAAGGGTATATTCATTATTGCATTAATACTGTACAGCAGTGTTTTTTACAGCACCCAGTGTTCATAAAATGTTTTTTTTTGTCTTTTTAGAAAAATCAGATTATTTCCTTTTTTTGCAGGTGGGTATTCCTGAGCAAGGATCAGAAATATCTAACCCTCCTTCCCAGGAAGAACCACCAGCAGCAGCAACTTCGACTATTCAGCAAACTCATGCCTTTCAACAACCCCAGAATCAGCCCATCATAGCTTCAATGATGCCGGAAACAAGGAATGTCATACTGGTATTGGCACAATCCCAGCTTCCGGTTTATGTGTTTCAGGAAGCTAATTTTCCACCTGAATCCGAAAACTATATGGGAAGGATGTGTGACCCTGTTTCTGGTGCAAAAGTCGTTGCTGAGGGTTTTGGGGGTACCAATACTGGGGTGCAAGTATTTGGTGAGGCTTCTGGTTCCAGAGTGCAAGAGGTTCCTCATGTCATGCAGGTGAGGCATTGTCACTTTTTTTTCTGTTACATTCTGTAAAGAAATGAATCTTTCAATGGAAGCACACATTTCCTATATATAAATTGAAATTTATAAAAACAATTTCAAGAGGCTGCCTGCCTCAAGTATGAAGATGATATTCACAGAACTGTAGAAGACATGCAAAACATGCCACTCATTATGGGATGAAAATGCACTTGAACCTCTCTAAGTCAAAATTTTAGGGACCAGGAAAAGAATTTTATTTTGGGAGGTTTCAATTTTTGTAGGTTTTGAGGTAAGGAAACAATCATTTTTGCTGCAAGGATAAGTTAAAAAAATTGATGGAAATTTTAAATGAGGAATTTCTGGGTCTAAACTTGCTTCTTAATGAGTTTATAGTTTGCTGAACTTGGATTCAAAGGTTCATTTGCTTAATTAGTCTTGCACTTTCCTTTCAAGATTCATAAAATCATTTCTTTCATAGATTTTCTCTTTCATATTTCAAAGAAATAGTAACTGAAAGGCCTCATAAAATTTCACTTGTGAATGTTTGGGAGAAAAAGACTTTGAGTTACAGAGGTTTTCAATGCATTGTTTCTGAGGGTATTCAGAGAGAGGGACCTTTAAAAAATGTTGAGTTAGGGAGGTATTTGACTTAGAGAGGTTCAACTGTAATATAAAAATAACATTTTCAAAATTATCCTGAGCATGTTGTTCATCTATGTGCTGCTTCTCATCAACAATAACCAGACAATGACCCTGAGAAAATGCTTGTTATCTGCAGGGCAAAGGCCCACAAAGAATAAAAATGATTACAGCAAATATAATTTAAAGACACAGTCTGCCTGTGAACAGGGCTAGGGATTCTCAGTAGAATTCCACAAAGACAGGAAATTTTTGTGGCTCAAAGTTAGTTGACACCAAATTTGGGTTTCCTGTAAAAACCCAAATGTGTAATTTCTGGGAAATTTGTGGCACTCTTGAGCAAAAATTTTGTATGAATGACTGAATGTGCAACCAACCATTACAGTGTGTGACACCTATAGGTAATTGAAAGGTGAATGGTAGGACTTTCTTCTCAACATTGGCATGACAGAGTGGAGCAATTTGCAAAAGAAATTGGCTGAGATTAAATAAATGATGTTATTTGGTCTTGCTTTTTCTTGTGTGGGATGTTTTCCTTTGAGCATATACAGTGTTTCTTTTCTTTCACAGGAAATGCTGCCACAGCAAAATCCAGCACCGGTTTTCGATGTTCAAGTGAAATCTCCTGAATTGGGCAACAAACCAAGCAAAGTGAGTTTGACAAATGTCTCTGCTCAATATATTCTGTCTATAAAGGGTGTGGGCGAATTGAAGGGTTTGTTCAAGAAATTTCTGCTGAATGTTTCAAAATCATGCCCAATAAATTGCTGATACTCTGATTAATTCTCATAAAAAGTTTTCACATGTAAGCAGATCTGCATATTTCATTCCATTTTCCCAAACTTACAATGGGATATTTTGTACTGAATTTTTGTATGTATGTCAAAAAATTGCGCAGTAAACTTCAATACAGTAAAAAACTTTTTCTCTCAAGAATTAAAAGTTGAAAAAAAATGTGCAAAATAAAACCATGCAGAATCTTATTTTTTTTTAGCAAGAAAAGGAGACCAAGAGTCAAAAAATAGTCAAAGGAAGTAAAAATCAATATATTTATATTCTGTGCTCAGTCAATAATGAATAAAAAAAAGAAACGCAAACTTTATCTTTTTAAACACAATTTTGACTAAAATTATAATTATTTTAATATTGAACAAGCACTAAAAAATATGACATTTTGCCCTTTCCAGCTTCAAAAATGTCTGAATTTGAAATGGTTTAGAGCGCATATTTGTAACCTTTCATGATTATAAGAAAAATGCAAACTTTTCCCGCTGAAAATTTTTGGAACTCGTTAAAGATTTTGAGAGCGTCTTTCAAGTTTTTTTTTGCCTTGGTTTAATTCAATGTTTTATTTTAAATTGCAGTACATTTGGTGCTCGAAGATGAATAAGTTGTACACGGATCAGAAAATCGAGGTGCCAATGGAAGTCATCCTTCCTGACGCCGAAAACGTGTACATTTTGCGTGCTAAACTCGTTTTTGCTGATGGCAAAAAGGAGATTGTTCCCAAGTGCAAACGCTGCTCTCAAAAAAATTTAGGTAAGTGATTTTTGGGAGATGGTGAGAATAAATCAGCAGAAAAGTGTGTCTCAAAATAGCCCTGAATCAGATGATGTGCATAAGAACAAAATGGCAATATTTTATCAAACAAAACAAAAAATAAATGGACTTCAAATCTTCAGATACAGTAAAATCATTTGGAACAAATACCATTACAACACATTTTTCAATACAGTATAATAAACTGTTTTACTAGTCCTGGCAGAAATCCTATAGGGTATATGTTATACAAAAAATGTTGTTATTATAACAAACTCCCCAATTCCAGTATAAAAAAACTTTTTTTTGGGAACATATTGTGATTTTTCAATGAAAATCCTCAATGAAGGTAGGCACATTCTCAAAATTTCCATTCAAAATGAGCATAGTTTTGAAGAAAGGTACAGTGTGACCAAAGAGAATTGTGTTTTACAATTGGAGTTTTCTCCACATATTTACCAAGATAAGTTGGAAATTAGTGACATTACGTGTCATGGATGAAAATGATGAATAATCTATTTTCCATTGTCGGCCCAAAAATAAATAACTTATTTTTTTTAAAATGGCAATATATAAATTCTAATAAAGCATTTATTACTTGTGAACCATGACATTTCAATCGCATATCACGCTCAGAAAACAAAAAAAATGATATTACTGGTGGACTCTACAAAAATCTTGTCAACAAAAGTTTCATCTGCATATGCTACACTTTCATTTGATCCCAAATGGTTATCTTCCAATGTTTTAGGAGTTCTTTGCAAGTGTTCCCAAACCTTTTTTTTTTGCACAAGCAGAGAAGCAAATTTTTATAAAATGTTTGGCCAACTGGCAACATTTCAAAAACCATTTATGCAGACAGGCAAAGTTCCATAAACATTTTTTCAAAATCAAAAAAGTTTAGCTTGAAGAACTGTGTATAGCAGGAATTTTTAAAAGTTTCTGCTTTCTTGCAAAAATGAAGGTAAGAATCAATGAAGCAGCTACATATACAGTAGTGAAATGCCTTCAAAAAAATAGAAAAAGGTGAGCTTGCAGATGTTTCTCAAAATGAAGAAATTGAAATGATTCATTCCAGCAGATGCAAAATTTCTCCTAAGTATTATTAGGAGAAAGGCCAACTTTCATTTTTCATCAGATAATTTCAACAGTGAGACCCAAGATGTGGATGTGATTGGTTCATCAAGTGTGTCCCTGAGTTGATTCTTGTTTTCCCATAGACTTACATAATATAAATTTTAATTAGTGTTTTATGGAATAAACATTCATCAGAATTATATGGAAAAAACGGTCTGCTATAGAAATTGATTCAGTGATTATCTTTCAACTCAATAAGAACATTTGGAGCTTTGAATACTGTACCTCTGTTAAGTAAATTGATATTTTGGCTAATGTAAAAATGGTATTCAAGTCACAAATACAGAAGGAAGTCCCTCTATGCTGGAGGTAATTTTTTTTTAATTAGCTGAATGTGGAATCTTGAAGCACTTGAATCAATGATGCCCGGTCGGGTCCGGGAAGATGTTTAAAAGAATGTCAGAGATCAACGGATCCACAGACTTTGACTACTCTTGGATGTTTTAACTAAATCTTTGATTTCGCTGTTTCTAACCCAAACTGCTTATAAACGCCAAGAGCTGTTATGCGGTTGTAAAGCGCGAGCTATGCCTTATTTTTAAAGCCAGACGGTCACTGAGGTGCGGATAGTTTACTTATTTCGGAGCATCACAAAATAATTGAAGTCAAGCCTTTTAAGACTTATTAACAATATATTCAGCTCAGATAACAAGTTTCACAATTCTGTCACAAACTCGTACTCGTCTCCGTCTGTTGGAAACGAGAACAAAATACTGTCATAACACATTTCATAATTTTGAATCACACACAGAAATACAACCGAAATTCGAATCACATTCAATGTAAATTTCAAACACTAGTCGAATCCTTCTGGCGTGGGTCTTTTTCTTAATGTTATTTTAACCCTCTAGAATATCTATAAAATACATGTGCACCCTTCTGGTGCTCAAACAGAAATGAGCAGAGCGCAGTCTGCAGAGAGATTAGCGCACCAACCTTGGGTGGCCTGATCCCGCATTCCAATCTAAATCCTCCTGCGAGGATGGTTCGCAAAGTTTTCCCAGGCAGCCTAAACCAAGGTTAAGACAAGCAGAAACTCTCAACGGAAAAACCGCGTCGAATCAAGCGCAGCGAATTTCATACACTCTTCCAAGAAAATATAAATATTGCCGAATTTCCGCGCAGCGCAAGTTTCCGCGAGGCGCGCGCCAATACAAATCTATTACGCTCTCTGATCATCCAAACAAACATAAAAATTGTGATCAGTCAACAAAAAATTTGCGCAGCAAATAAATCGCAAAATAGAGAAGTTAGCATCCGCGACTAACCTTTGTAAATACGACAAATAACTGAAGTACAAATTCTCAATTCTGTCTATTTCTCTTTTCTGTTTATACAAATCTAATCAAAACAAAAATCAGCATTTTCCCATCTCTTAAATACATTCAAAACCCTTTTAAAAAGATTCTTCTCAGTACAAACAAGGGAATAAACCAAATTAGGCTGATACATTGCCAATGAAAATTGATACATTGCCAATGAAATTGATACATTGCCAATGACTCAATACATCGCCAATGACTCAATACATTGCCAACGACTTTTCTAAGGCATAAATAAATTATACATTAACTAGGTACAAGTATCAATGGTAATTCTTAGTGTTTAGTGTTCTGGGGTTGCCTCTAGCGACAATTGCTGAGTCCCTTCCATTCAGAGCACTCTACCTTACACCTTTGAAAGCGTAAGCCTCTTTTCAGAGGAGTCTGACCTATTAGGGACACTCTTGATGCACCAATTACGTCCGCATCTCGGGGTCTCACTGTATTTAAAAAAAATTACACAATAAGCCAACAGACTTCATTGCTACTTTTGATGCCTTTATTTATGTTGAAGAAAATTTTCTGTGGACCAGTGCATGTCCATGTTGGAAAAACTCTGCTCAGTAAAACATTCTTTTTTTTTGTGGGTCCCTCGGCCCTGCAAATTTTTTTTTGCAGAGAGTGAGAGAGGACACCTGTATAACACCTTTATTTGTTTTGGCCCTTGAAAATGGGAATTTCTTATTGTATCCAGATTTTACTCTGTGATTTTAGAAAATGGCTCTTGCTCGCACATCATACAAGTCCTCAGTCCACACGGTGCCCAGTATGTGGGCGAAGCCGGAAGTGGTGTGAATAAGTATGTGGAGCTGAAGTTGGCGAAACCCGAACCGGGTTCCGGCACCAGTACCCGATTCACCATGATGTTGACGTGTCGGGATTCCTGCCTGGCTTCCCAGTACAAGAAACGGGAGCGAATGCTTGTGTTTCAATTGTACAACAATGATGGGGCTTTGTTGAGTGAGTCGAAGATGCTGGTGAGGGTTTGTGCGGATCCGAAACGGGATTGGAATAATGACTGCAGGAACAAGCCGGAAGCTGGAAAAGAGAACAAGCCGGAAGCTGGAAAAGGGGGAAAGCGGAAATTGCCAAGCGTGAGTTATTTGTGTGTTTCTCTATTTATCTGATCTGTCTGATCAACTGTCAAAACACATCAGTCAACCTCTCCAAGTCAAATTCCAAGGGACCATAAAACAAACCATCAAAAAGAGACTTTTTTTTTTTTACAAAGTTTGGAGTTGGGAAGGTTTTGAGTTAGTAAAAAAGTAATTTTTTGTATGTATAGAAAATATGAAAAAATTTATACAGAAATTCTAATTGGTAATATTCTGGGCCTTAATTGTCTTCTTTGATAATTTGACAGGTTGCTGTTGAGAAGTTCAAGACAATTTTCCAAGTAAAAATAAAGGAAACCTCTGCCTTCCAAGAATTAAGTTGAATTTCAAGATTTCATGGAAAGAAATTGAGTTGTGTAGGTTTTGAGTTATTATAGGGAAATAAGTATTTTTGTGGAGGGAAAGGAAGAAGAGTAAAAATAGATTGTAATTAGGATTGTTCTGTGAATGTAATTGTTTCTCAAATTAATCTACAGTAATCCAACTTGGAAAAAGCTGGATTATTTTCCATGATTGACAACTGGAAAAATATTTTCCTTCTCTCATCACCATTTATAAAACTATAAAATCATAAAACAAATCTCAGAAAATCTCTATATTATGGTCTGCATTTTGTAAATTTGTGCAGCCCATACATAAATATATACTATATCCAGATCAATCCAACACAAGCCTTTTGGATAATTCTGTGAAAATAGCTTAAGAAGAAAAATATTAACATATGTTGTTCTCTTTTCAGGGCTTCAGTAATGAAAAACCTTCAAGCAGCAAAAAGAAGAAGTCACATGAAGCTGTGCCATTGGAAACCGTCGTATTTCCGGTGAATATATCCGATTTATTTATTTTTTTAAAGTTTGGTAGAGTTTTATGGTACCTAGGTTAATGAAAGTCCTTTATCCGAAGCGTCAATATAAACAAAGTTTTACAAAAGTTTTGGAGATTGGCTGATTATTTCCTGGAACCTCAAAAAAATGCTACTTCAATCAATAAGTCATGTGTCTACACTTGAGTATATATCATCCTGGGTACCCCTCATTCATTTTTAAAAAAAGTATTTTTGCACAAATATTTACTTGAAATTTTATCTAAATACTGTGCATCATTTTTTTTTGTGTATATACAGGCTACGTTGACAGAGGAAGAGAGGGCATTTTATTTGGAAATTGCCAAGGCTCTCAATTTTGCTGAGTATGTGAAGAAATTCCGTCCTGAACTCTACAAGGAAATTGAAAATGAAATGAAGCCCATTTTCAAAATCAGAAACTTGGAGGATCCAAGTGGGTGAAAAATGCAAACATTTTGCATCATGGATATATGTTTGGTATTGAAGCTTATTCCCTCATTGATTTTTTTTATTTTTATTCATGAATATGTTTTATTTCCAGCTTTTCAGTATTCAAATAATGTTCCAATAAAGCCTCTCCCCTCCCCACCCACATCCACCCATATCCAAACACAGCATTCAATCACATCAAGATGTGAATTAGAGAAATAAGCCATATATGGGTATAAGTTGAAAAGAAAATTATATATCAATAACCAAATTACAGCAAATGGCAATTACTGCACACAAATTAAAGCACAAGGTGTTCAGCCTGCTCCCAGATGAATTTTATAGTTGAGTAAACAGTGTTATAGTTGAGTAAATTATTTATAGAGAATCTTTGAGGAGAAATTGTATAAAGCTAACAGTTTTTCTTGGTCTTCTAAAATTTTGGAAAGAGTCTTTCCCTGAAGCATTCAAGAGGGCCAAATCTTTTTGAAGCTGACATCTGTAGCTGTGGAATGCTGGGCATGAGAAAAGAAGGTTTTGATGGAAGATTGGTCCAACAATAAAAACAGGCTCTATCTTCTAAATACTGTAATACATTTTATTGAAAGATGAGAATCAGGTTTTAAAAAAAAGGATTGCCCCAACACTCAAAATACATGTGGGTCACTGATTCTTGAAACCTGAGAGTATATGGCTTTATTTGTTCATAAAAGGTCATCAAGGAGGTGGTGGATAACTTATATGATTGAGAACAATTACATTTTCAGGGAACAAATGACTTCTAAAAAAGTTTCCATTTTTCAAGTACTGTATTTGACTGCTACATAACTTGAAGTAAGACATGCATCCAATCTTTTCTCTGAGGTTTGGAGTTCATTTCAGGCCTTTCTCCAACATCTGCAAAATGAATTGAGTTTATTCATGTAAAACTAGGACAGTATTTCCCATTTTCCCTGATCTTACCAATGGCTTTATTCTAATTCTAGTTTACTCTGACCGCTTTATTCCCATCTCAAAAATATGTTAGGAACATTCATTGCTGATTTCTCCCCGATGGGATTGATTCTGACTCAACAGTAAAAAAAACAACCAACAATACATGTTTGGCAGAGTTGAACATAAGATCAGGGGGTATAAATACAATTCAGTTAGGAATTACAATTGGAAAACATACTCTATTTTTAAAATTTGGAGCTGTATATACAATTTCCATCAGTTACTTGGACTCTGGGAACAAGTCCTTTTTCCTGATGTCTGGAAATCCGTGTCTTGAGAAGCTGAGATACAGTAATTGTTGCTGTTCAAACGTCCCACCAGACTTGGTCTTCCAGAGCAGTGTTACTCAGAACTGGTGACACTCACATTGAATCTCAATCGTTTCATCACGGGTGTTGACCATCACATCTCTGAAAAAAAAGTCTGTGTCATCGATCTGTGCAACGATCAAGAGCTGAGAAAACTTTCACAGGTTCAGACTTCGAAATCTACTGTATTCATTAATTTCCGCGGATCTAAATTTCACCGGTCGTGTTGTCTGCAGATATCATTATAGAACCCGGTTCTCTGTATTCAATTCCCGAAATGTCGTACAACTGCTACAACCGTCCAGAACCAGTGATTCCCCAGGGTTACGGAACTGCGAGTGACGTTCTTAGGACTTACAATGAACTCGATGGCACTGGAGTCCGCCAAAATTGGTACAGTTCCAGCATATATATTTTCCCCTGTGACGCAATAGTAGTACGTAGGTTGAAGTGTGCTTTCGTGCATATATGGAGACGTTCCAACATCGTGTCTGATGTGACTCTTTCGTTATGATGATGCTTCCGCAATAAGTGAAACACATGGAGCTCAGGTGTTAGTTTTGTGAAACGTTGGAGTAAGTTCTTTTTTAGTCGACGGATCCATCTGTGTTCCATAGAACTTAAGTATGTGATGATCTTCACACCGGATTATGTAAATGCGGCGTCATTCGGCTATATACTTTCTATTGGTCTAAAAGTGATGTATTCGTGTGGAAAAGGTGCTCGCTCATCAGAAGCTCGGTGTAAAGTTACATATGCGCGGATAATCCCCTGGTTGGTGAATTGATTTCATAATTTGTAACTATAACTCGAAGCCATCTCATATCGTGGTTATTTGAACTGAGTCGTTATTACTGTTTCAAACTTCTGAGTAGCATCGTGGAATTGAGCAATTCACGCAATCTCTATTCTAATTTTAGGCGTGTATGAGAAGTCATCCGTGTGATGCGTCGGTGTTTTTCCGTTCTTTCTATACGGAGATTTGGTATTTTTGATTCATTTTGGCTGTGATCGATGCATTGAAACCTCCGATTACTTCTATTGTTGAAGATGACCGTGTACATATAGCGTCAACGTTTTCGGGTAACCTTGGTTGAAATTGAAGAGTTTGTTCATCATTACGTGTTTTTTCAAAGAGAGAAGCTCCCTCATTTCTTCATTCAGCCATTTATCCCAAAATGATCTGTGCTAATGTGGCGAAGAAGTTTCGTCCGTTCGGAATGTTCCGAAAGGCGCCCTAGCTTATCATAGAAACTTCGAACTCATCGCATGATCCTGAATGTTAATGGAGAGTAGTCTACGAAACGAAAACCGAGTGTTCAATTGAGATTTGCCGTCTTATTTCGAAGACGCGATTCGTAAATCGTACAGGATTTGATATTTGCACGATAAGTTCAACGAAGTCGCAATGGAGAACTGAGCGCGATGGATCCGCGGTATGAGAATGAATCGACCGAAGTATAGTCGATCACCCGCGACTTTGAAACTGTAATTCTCATGCTGTATCTCCGCTAGACGAGCAAATTACTTGTATCTTGTGAAATCAGGGCTGATTTGTCGAGTGAGGTTCAGCGAGTGGCCAAGAACCATTCGTACGCCAACGTCATCTCGGATGCCAAACAAGGATGGCGATTCAATGCGGCTCTCGCGGCTGCTCAAAGACACCGTCACGACGTCGTGATGGACGACGATGTCGTGAAACGACTGGACGAGTACAAGAAATTCGAGAAAATCGGCAACAGTCTCCCTGGGACGGGTTTTGTGGACACTGGACCATCCTTGCCCAAGACTGGGGATTACTTGACTGACAAACCCGAGCGATTGTCTGATTACGAGCGATGGGTGCTGAACCGGAGATCCGTGTTTGCGCTCAGGAACAAACTGTGAGTCATTATTGATTTCCAATTATTATTTTTCTTGACCGTTTTGGTTTATTTGGATGATGATTGTATTTTGTGTATCTAGTCCACCTTTGTCATCAGACCGAGACGAGATGACCAAGGGTTTTGTGAGCAAAGGTGAAGCGGGTTGTCTGTGGACGGAGGCAGCCATGAAGCGCAACAGAGCCATGTTCAGGCGCAACCAGCTCTGTGTGAGTTTCTGTGCATGTTGTGTTCCATTTTGACCATTTCGGTATTTACTTGAGTACCAGCACATGCCCTCAACTTGATAAGGTGCGCATTTTGTTCTGTTTTTTCACTGAAATTTGGGGGGTTGGGGGAAAGTCCATTCCTGAGAAAGAAAGAAACAGTAATTTGAATTGGGGTCACTCAAAAATAAATGATCCACCCCAAAATCTGGACAATGTCTCCTGGTATGTATAATTTTCCAACATTTCTAGAAAAATTGAAAAAGTTCTTTTTTCTACATTTTGATGCATCATTCATTTTGAAAAGTGAATTTTATGCTTCTTTTTTCAGCATTTTTTATTAATTGTGCAGAGTATAAATAGCTGGATTTCTTCTTTACTTCCTATATGCTCCTTTTGATGCCAAAAGATCTGATTCTGTTTTGTTTTCTCCTGTCCACCTATTTTTTTTGTATCTTAAAGTTGAGAAAGCAAAATTTCATTATTTTGGGGGCTTTATTCCTGATTTTTGACTAAACAGCAAAAACCAATGAAATCTACGTTTCTATTGGCATCTTTGCTGCAAGAATGTGATTCAAGATGTGGGCATTCCAACATAGGGAGTGACTACAGGTTTGACCTTGCAATTCAAGCCCAGTCCATTGGCAAACTAGGGTCAAATTGGTAAAATTGTGAGACACTCTGCAAAATTCAAACATATAAGTACTGTACAAAAATGTAAAAAAGTGGCCAAAGCAGGTCAAATTGCAGGGAATGGGTTAAAGTGCAAATCAACCTCCCTGATGATTTGACTGTTGGATTGCAGAACGGTCAAATTGTGGGATGTCCAATTGCAAGGTACCACCTGTATTCATGTTTGTCTCATGCAAATCATGAAATAAAATGTGAAAAATAGATCATTTAAGGGAAAAATTCAACAACAGTTGAAAAATTGCTCCCAAAAATGTGTACCATAAGCCTAAAGGATGTGCACCTCATTTTTTGCCCCAGTTTCTTGGAAAAAAATGTGTGTTTGGTACTTTCATGAGTATGTTATGTACCGGTATTACATGATGTATGGTGTTGTCAAGTATTATAATAATTTTTTTTCAACTGTCCATGTGCAGCAAAAGTTCAACAGCATGGTGGATGAATGCAGGGTTGCTGTGGAGGAGATGGTGAGAGACAATGGCCATGCACAAGGTCAAAGAGCCAGAATACTGACTGACCTCATGAAGTTTAAAGAAAGCTCCGCTGTCAGGAAGGCACTCTACACTTCCATGGCTGAGGTATATCCTGAAATGAAATTGTGCATCTTCTAAAAAAAAATCAATGCTGTTTTCATGAAAGTGAAAACTGAATAAGTACTTTTTAAAATTCAAGATTGAATAAAGAGGGTTCAGGCATATCATTTTTGAAATTTTGCTTGCAATTTTTTAAAAGCTCAGGTGTGCATGATGGCAAATTTTGATAAAACATAATTTTAAGTGAAAAATTTGTAATTGCTTCAATATTGGTCCATTTAAAAGTATACATTGAAGTTTGATGTTTTACTTTCAACATTTCGCAAATTTCCTGTCACTGAATATATTTTAACTCTTATACTTTTAACTGGGGATGTGTTTTTATCCAACTTCTATCATGAGAAAATCAGTTTCAAATCTTACTCAAGGGCACAATCAGATACCTTGTATGCCCAACCCTACATGCAATTTTACATTTTCAAATGCTATTCATCACAAAATTCCAGGGAAATTGTTCTCCAGTGATCACAACAAATCGTAGGACCAACCCAAACAAATTGAATCCCTAAAATTTGAGCAAAATTTTATGAAACTCCACTGTTCTATTACAAATTTGGTTTTTGTTTTACAGTTGCATGAGTACATCAATGATGTGCAGTTTGAGATCTTCAAATCAGAACAGTTGGCTTTGGAGTTGAGAAAGGCTGATACATCATATTCTCAGTGGGTGTCATGTCATGATGTATATCAGGGTTTCCCAACCTGTGGTTTGTGGACTGGCACTGGTCCACTGAAGTTTTTGGCCAGTCAGAAGGAAATTTTATTCAGCATGATAAATTTACCAAGAAAAGCAATAAAGTTCGTTAACTTTATTTGAAATGTTTTGAAAGATAAAAGTAGTTGAAATTATTGAATGAAAAATAAGTTGGTTTTCCTCCTAATATGAGACTTCAGACAAACTTTCCCCTGCTGAAATAAATTATTTTTAATTTTTCAATCCAATAAATTTGTCTTCATACCTACTTCTACAATTTTTAGAAACCATACCACTCTAGCTGCTGCTTTGCAGAAAAGCTTAAACTTTCCAATTCCTGGCAGAAGTCTTCTGAGCAAAAGTTTTGTGAGTCTGCAAAAATTTTAGGTAACTTTGCCAGTATGCAGACATATTTTTGGAAATTTGCTAGTTTGCAGGCCCAGAAAGTTTGTGGAACACTGATGTACAAAATTTGACAAATTGTTGTGCATTTCATGACGTTTTGACTGTTTCCAGGGAAGAGGATTCATTGGAGCAACTGGGTCAAGATTCTAGCATATTTGTCATCATTGAACAGATTGACCAGGTCTTGGATTTCTTCCTGAATGTCTCACCTTATTTGCTGACAGAGGCTCAGTCAATGACAGCAAACATGGAGTTGAATGAAATCATTAGATCTTGGAGAGATTGTCACATGCAAAATGATGCTTGTGATTAATGGGGTTTGAGTCAGTCATGTTCTGCTGGGGAATTTTGTTCTGAAATGCCTGATGATCCTTTTCTTTATGACTGCCAAAATTTTCTGCTTCTTTTCTTCTGCAAATTTTCTTCTTCTGAGATAGTAAATTGATTGATTCCTTTGCTGATGCTTCATTTTGATTTATTGAAGATCCTGCAGCTTTGAATATTTGGTGAGATCTTGCCTTTCTAATAACCCTTATGTTGAAAAGCACTCCAGTGGTTGTGAAGCATGATGTTAGCATCTTATATATGCTCCATTCCACAAATGTGTGGTTCTGATTCAAGTACCAGTGTACCACACACCCTCAAGTAAGATGTCCACAGGGGATTTTCACTTGAGACATTTTGTCAGGGGCTAATGAGCCTCTCTGGCAAAGCTTAGATTTTGATAGTAGGAAATCAAATGAAGTTGTAAACACAATCAGCCTTTTGGGGCCTAAGGTCAATACCTCAATCTTCAGTTTATGTCAGTCAGGTGTTTCCAAAGACAGT